GCGGTAAACCCCAATGTGCAGGCGCCCAGCCAAGGGGCAATAAGTATGCCCACCCCCGCTCGGCGCCTCTCCCCGCAGGCAACTCCAGAGTGGAAAAGGGTCCAACCACCTTCAAGGAGACTGGTTCCAGAGCCCAAGCCGTGCGTCGAGGTGAGCCCGACTATGTCTAGCCGGAATTTCTCAACCTCGCGCACCAGCTCAGGCTCCTTCCCCATCAGAGAGGTGACATTCCATGTCCCAAGAGCTAGCTTCTGCAGCCGAGGATTGGACCACCAAGGTCCCCGCCTTCGGCCACTGCCCAGCTCACAATGCACCCAACCCCTATGGCCCCTCCTATGGGTGGTGAGCCCATTGGAAGGGGGACCCACGTGCCTTGTTCGGGCTTGTTCGCCATCGAGCCCCACCCCCAGGCCTGGCTCCAGGGGGGGGGGGCCCGGTGACCCGCGTCCGGGCAAGGGAAAACGTGTTTCCAATATTTTTCTCATCAAAAATATCTCAGATAAACCACTTATTTAAAAGTGAATTTAAATGGACAGTTATGTTATATTCATAAAATAATGTGTGGTCATACCCAAGCACTTAAATTAAACATAAATATTTATTAGTTTCTTTAAAATGTATACACAGTTGCTTAGCATATTTATTTAGAAAATCCTAAAGTGGTCAGCTTTAGATTTCCATTAAATCTATATTGCTTCAATCCAGAAACTTGCCCAGAAGCAGCTCAGGGAAATTGTGTCCCTAAATTGCCTATATTGGTAGGTTTTGCATTTGAGTCTGTGTCCTGTGATGGACTGGTATCTCCTGCCTTGTGCTCTGTGCTTCTTGGCATAAGTCATGCACTAGATAAGCGGTTAAGGGAAGAAGAAGCATGAACTGAAATTGTATGTTGGGAAACATTTCTGGTGTGAAATGTATTTTCACATCAGCATGTGGCTCAGTGGGCTAAGCCTGTGTGCTTGTAATCACAAGGTCGCCGATTCAAACCCAGCCTCAGCATGCCTGTGGGTCCTTGAGCAAGGCCCTTAACCCCCAGCTCCCTGGGCGCCCCAACAGGTAGCTGCCCTTCGCAGACAGCTTGTTCTACAAAGAGCAAGTTGATGGAGGCATAAAAAGATTTTCCCCATGAGGGACAATAAAGGTTTAATTAATTAAATTATATACTCGGTAACAAAAAAAGTTAAGCACCCAAATGGAGCTCTGGAAATTAAGTGAATCTGCACGTGGTGAAAGGTCCTGTTACCGTATTGCAATGTTTATAATATCAGATCAGACAGACAACAGAGTTAGCAGTAAGGGCACACTGCTGGTCCCATGTCAGTAGGTTGGGGCACCCCCCAGGCCTGAATACATGGTGGCGATATGGTGCGGAAGGGTGTTGTGCAGCTGTTGCATCCTCTCCTATGGCAAGTCAGCCCACAGCTTTTGTAACTGGCCCTCAAGATCTTGCAGACTTGCAATGGGTCTGAGTTGACATCCGAAATCAAGGGATCTGGCTGGCCATGGGAGGACCTCAACATGATGTAAGCAGTCCATAGCCACACATGCCGTTTGAGGACGGCGTTGTGTTGTTGAGAGACTGTACCAGGGTGTTGTCTCAGGAGGGGTAAGACATGAGGACACAAGATGTCACTGATGTAGCGCTGCGCCATCAGGGTCACTCGAATCACTGCCACATATTACCTGAAGTCATACCCTATGGCTCCCCACACCATGATGCAAGGAGTAACATTGGTGTGTCTCTCTAAAACATTTGGCAGGATTGGTTCTCTCCCCTCAGCACTGCAATATGCACACACGATGGTCATCGTGGTAATGCAGAACTGAGACTGATCACTGAACATGTTACGACACCACTCCAAACGCAGCCATCTCTGTGCTGGTGTTAACAGCAGCCTACACATGGGACAGTGAATCCATAGTTCGGCTGATGCCAGTCGCGGGATGACATGGGGTGTTGTAGAGAGTCCAATACCTAGGTCTGGATGGCAGGCATGGGGTTCTGTAATGCTTGGTGCACAATACGACGATCCTTCATTCATGTGAGCTATCTTGGCCAACTGGAACCTTCATGATGTGTGGGTACCCTCACATGCCCATTGGTTCCAACATCGGGTGACTGCGACATCTGCATGCCCCATAAAATGCAGGTAATGCTGTCTAATGCATCTACGAGGCATCCTCGGTGCCTGGTGACTAGATGTGCCAGCTCCATGCAAATCAAATCATTTACATACCCATAGCTGGTCTGTACGTGTGCCAAATTATATATCTAAATTGGACCATTACTTCCAGGTGCTTAACTTTTTTTGTACTGAGTATATTTACTGTTACATTTAGTAAAAGTATGTATATTAGCTGCCAACACTTTTTTCTACAATTTCTTTAAACTGAATTTGAAAAATACCACAAATCCCCAAAGCATTAGGAACCATGTTAAATAAAGACAGTTTTTAAATTAAAAACTGTACTTGTCAATATTTCCATGGTGATAAGGCCTCAGTATTGCACATCAGTGTTCCTCTGTTAATTTTCCATAGCCTTTTCAAATTTGGTATTTGTCTGTTACCACATACAAAGTAATAGGATAAAACTATACAATGTTAGAAGTGCTTCATCAGGGTTGACCCAGGGGAATGATCACTTGAGTATGAAACATTTAAATATGAAATAGGGATCAGGTCTTGATTTCAAGATTCTGTATATTATCGACAATGGTTGAAAATATTTCTCTTGATTAAGCTTGGTATTTTCTCTGTAGAGTGAAAGTTTGTGACACCTGGCAAAGGTTAATTATTATTTAGAGAGTTGTATATATTGTAAAATTTGGTATAAGATCTCATTATTGGCAGACATTTATTATATTTCTATATATTTAGAGTTGTCTCGGAATATTGGCCCAGCTGCCATACTGTCATGTCTACTGTTACATCTCTCAGGTCTGAGGGCTGGGATGACTGGGTTCCTCTCAAATAGTTCAGTTATCAGCCGACTGCTAGTGAATGCAGATTCCTTCAGCTGTGACCCAGAAAACTTGTAAGTAGTCAAATCCCCCCTCTTTTCCTCACTTTTCCAACTCATTCTATTACCAGCCCTGCAATTGGGATTGGAATATTGAAGCTGCTTTGTGGAACTGGTATATGCTTTGTTTCAGCCAATGCTACACAGAGAAATGTGTGATGAACAATTACTTTGGAATCGGACTAGATGCAAAAATTTCTCTAGATTTCAACAATAAGCGGGATGAACATCCAGAGAAATGCAGGTACATTCTCATACGCTACATTATATGTACACGATCTCCATGATGATATTAACTTCCTTGAAAGTACGCTGTTACCGTCTACACATTATCACATGACAATATCATAACTCATACTATGTAGTCACACACCATCCATATCTTTGAGTTGTCTCAATTGTTTAGGAGCCGGACAAAGAACATGATGTGGTACGGAGTCCTGGGCACCAAGGAGCTCCTGCATCGTACATACAAGAATCTGGAGCAGAAGGTGCTGTTGGAGGTAAGTTGAGTGTGCAGTTATCCTGTGCTTATTGATGTGAGAAGTTCATTTATACCAGGGCACTGTTGAATTCTCCATTTGTAATTGTGTTAATTTTCTAAAACTACACGTAATTCCAGCCCTGCAAATCACACAGTAACTCAGTTACTAATAAAAGCAAACAAATAGCTACAAATCACTTAGACATCGCTGTTTTAGGCTGGAGACTGAGATCTCTGGTAAGTGATTGCCATATTTTCGTGTATGTAGCTTGCACACAAACATATTCCCTACCCATAGACTGGAAAAATCCTAATTTTTTTTAAGCAACTACAGAATTATTTTTAAGCTTCTTACTAAAGGTTGAGCACTCAGTTGAATATGGCCTGCATTTTTAATAATTATTTTATATAATTTTACTTTACACATTTACACTAATTTAACACATTCATATATGTACCAGAAATTGAAAAAACACTACGGCACATAAGATGTTAAACTGACTGTAGAGAGCTGCTATAGTTAATATAGCTGATGGAGTTATATCTTTGCCATCGAAACTGAAGCATTCACTTCTTAATATTTCACTAGCTCAGATGACAATACAGACTGAAAAAGGCTTTGCTTCTGAGAATAAACAAGGCAATGTTTGAAACATACATCGATCAGCCATAAAATGAAAACCATCTACAGGTGAAGGAAATAATATTGATTTGATCCGAGTGACTGACAACATGTAGATTGTGATGGCTAGATGACTGGAACAGAGCATCTCCAAAATGGTAGGTCTTGTGGGGTGTTACCAATATACAGTGGTCAGTACCTACCAAAAGTGGTCCAAGGAAAGCCAACCGGTGAACTGGCAGTGGAGTCATGGGCACCCACGACTCATTGATGTGCATGGGGAGTAAAGGCTAGCCTGTCTGGTCCAATCCACAAAGGAGAGATAACTTCTTAGCGATTTGGGCTAGAGTAATACAGGCTAAAATAGAAAGGCATCAGAACACATTGCAGCTTGTAGCCACAGACCAATCATAGTGGCCATGCTGACCCCATCCACCACCAAGTGCCTACAATGGAGAGAAGGGGGGACTTCCGGCACTGTGGAGCAACTGCTGATCTAAGAGCTCCCTCGTGCCAACTTTAAAATCTCAGCTAAAACTCGAGTAAACTACACTGAGTAACCTAGAAAAAAAAAGAACTCACTATGAGCGGAGGAACAACTAGGGTGATGACTAGAAAACAACCGAATAATTAAGGTAAAGGAACAAACCGTGAAGACAAAAAGATGCTAACACCAGAAGCTAATGAAGAAATGGCGTCCCAGACTAACCTAGCTAGCATTAGCAGTCAGATTCAAGCAATGCAATCTGTGTTGAAAGCTGACCTAAGATCAGTCAAGGAAGAAATTACGTCCAGAATGAGAGATGAACTGACTGAGCTTAAGTAGGACATCGACTGCAAATTTGTAAAAATAACTACAAAAATAGGAGAACAAAAGGAGAAAGTGGATGCGGCTCTAACGCGAATAAAGGAGATGGAACAGTGGAACTCTGACACTAACTGTATGCTGCAGAATTTACTGAAATAACGTGGGGAGTTATTGGAAAAGCTGGATGACTTGGAGGCTAGATCCAGGAGAAATAACCTGTGGATTTATGGTGTGAAGGAAGACGCGGAGTTGCGGGACAGCACGGTGGCAAAGTTGATGGAGGAGTGGCTCCAGAAGGAGTTTAAGATAGACTCTGACCTGCAGATTCAGTGTGCTCACAGAGCTCTGGCACCAAAACCGAAAACAGGTCAGCCACTGCATTCTGTCTTCATTAACTTCCAACAGTACACCATGAAATAGCTGATATTGAAAATGGCATGGTAGAAGAAAACAGTGATGTTTGGAACCGACAGAATTTATTTTGACCACGACTACATGGCAAAGACACTAAAGAAGCGGAAAGCTTATACAACTATCAAGAAAATACTGAAAGAGGAGAAGATTCGGTTCCAAATTCTTCTTCACAGGCTACGAGTGTACTGGGAAAACGGAGTGAAGACCTACGGCAGCACGCAGGAGGCGGTCAGCGACATGAGGAAGCGGGGATACAAGGTGGAGGACATCCAGGGAGAAAGACCATCCAGGAGCTCCCCACCACCGAGAGAGCAAGAGGGGCTGGCACAGTGACGTGGAATCAGGTCGGGCGTGTCCGATCACAGGAGTTGGGAAAAAGAGAATTCCAGCACAAAGAAGGCTGAAAGGACCGCAGATTTTGGTGAGAGAAAAAGGGGAGAAAAAAAAAAAAAAAGAGGCGCAGATATGACCTACTTCAGGGGAAATATGGATAAAAGAAAAAAAAAAAAGAAGATCAAGGGGAGGGGGGAAAAAAAAACCTGACCTGAATATCATGTGAGAATGGTATTGATAGTAAATTGATATGTTGGCACAAGAGGGACAAAAAGGGGTATTGTGGGGTAGCTAGTGTGAAGGATTTGTGTAATGTCAGAACTCACTAGTTGGGGGCCCTTCCCTTCAGGAAGATTTACCTCTAAAAGACTGAGGAGAGAGTTAACGTTTGTTGACATCTCCTACTGGAAGTTACCTAGGTTTGTTATTGTTATGCATTTTAAGTTTATTTCTATGAAGCCGTTGGCTGTGGAATGTGTTATTGTCGGCCTGCAGGAGAATTATAGCACGAACACTCATAACTATAAATGGGCAGTAAGCCACAGGGTTTAAAAGGTTATGTCTTTAAATGTTTACAGTCTTGGTCACCCAGTCAAAAGATTAATTGATAGATTAAAAAAGAGAAGATTCAAATTAGCTTCATACAAGAAACACACCTTTCACAAGCAGAACATGAAAAGTTAAAGAAATTTGGATTGAGAAATACTTATTATAGCTCACATACCAATAGTCGTAAAAGAGGGGTAGCCATTCTTATGTCTAATTCCATAAAATTTGAATGCCAAAAAGAAATAAAATACAAGGAGGGACGATATGTTATTATAAAGGGATTGATAGAATAGGAAGCTGTCACTTTGGTAAATGTATATGCCCCCCCAGAAAGTGATCAACAATTTTTTAAAATCACTCTTGGACCTCATAGCTGTGGAAACAGAGGGTGTGTGTATATGTGGAGGGGACTTTAATCTCATCATGGATCATGATCTGGACACAACAAGTACAAACAAACACAAAAAAAAAATAAATCTGACAAAATTAGTAAAAAACATTATGCAAGAAACAGGTCTAATAGATATATGGTGGGAATTGAATCCTCTGCAGAGAGACTATAGTCATTACTCAGCAACTTATAAAGTCTACTCAAGGATTGATTATTTTTATATACAGGAGGAACATAGAGATAAAATTCAAAGCTGCCAAATTGGGGTGTCTGATGTATCTGACCATAGTGCAGTTTATTTAAAAATAAAACTGAATAATGAACGGAAAGATACAACGTGGAGACTGAATATAGGGATATTGAATAATAAAAATATTGTAGACCAAATTAAGGAAATACAAAATTACTTAGAGGAAAATAATGGGGAAGTGGACCCAGCAATAGTTTGGGATGCATTAAAAGCAGTCAGAGGAAAATTGATAATTACAAGTAATCCTAAGAAGGAAAAGGTGAAAGAATACAAAACACTTATAAATTAACAGACAACTGGAGTAAAGGGGAAAGAAAAATGGACCAATGAACACAAAAACAAATGATTACAATTAGAAAGAAAATGAATGACTTACTTCAGCAAGAAAATGAACTAAAAAGCAAGATACTTGAAACAAAATTATTATGACCCTAAATCCGCCAGATTGCTAGCAAGGCGTATTAGAAAGCAGCAAGTTCAATCCAGTATTACAAAAATGAGGGATCCAAAAATGAATCAAATGAAATACAAAATCAAAAGAAATAGAAAACATCTTTAAAGATTACTATATAGACCTTTATAGTGAAATATCAGCCTCTAATCAGGATGTAAAACTAATCTTGAAACCTTAGATCTACCCTCAATAAGCACTGAACAAAACAAGTGTACAACAAACCAAATAACTTAGGAGATCCAAACAGCAATAGGGAAATTAAAAACAAATAAAACACCGGGAAATGATGGATTCCCATCAGAATGGTATAAAAAGTTTGCAAACGATTTTTTGCCGTTATTTCATACTACTTTCAATTGGATTCTTGCAAATAACATAACTACCCCCTCCTGGCAGGAGGCAATAATTACAGTAGCTAAACCATTAAAAGAGAAAGATTTTTGCCAAAATTATAGACCAATATCAATTTAAAATACAGACTACAAACTATATACTTCAATTATATCAAATCGAATTAAATCATTTATACCCGATCTGATAGATGAGGATCAATATGACTTTGTGGTGGGAAGACAAACGCATGACGTTAGAATAACATTGCATATCATACACAGAATATTTAAAAATAAAATACCTTCAGCATTGATAAGCCTTGATGCAGAAAAGGCATTTGACAGGGTCAGTTGGGACTTCCTATATTTAACTTTGGAGGAATTCGGTTTTTAATACTAAATCAGTTAATTGCTTTAAATCAATTTATAAATCGCCTACGGCTCATGTCAAAGTGAATGGATCCTTATCAGAAAGATTTGAACTGGAGAGAGGAACAAGACAAGGCTGTTGCCTTAGCCCTACATTATTTGCGTTATATATTGAGCCTCTGGCACAGATGATCAGACAGGAAACCACAATAACAGGAATAAACATAAAAGGCTGAGAACATGTAATAAGTCTCTTCGCAGATGATGTATTAATTTACCTAAAACGATCCAGCTAAAACCTTTACACATCTAATGGAAATTCTAGAACAGTTTGGCTTTCACTCTGTTTATAAACTGAATTTGCAAAAGACTCAGGCTTTTATGTTTAATTGCTCTTCAACCCCGAAACTTAAAGAATTTAAAATAAAATGGGAAGCTAAGACACTTACCTACCTGGGAATAAAAATACCCAAAAACTTAATATATCTATACAAATG